CTCAACCCTGTTGAGTCCCCAAGTCTCATCAACCTTTTGATGAAACTCTTGAAATTATGACATGCTGGAATTGGTTCTCGGCAACATCCCACTTTAATATCTAGCTTCTTTCTCCTGTTGTCTATAGAGAAACAAGAATACTTATTGCCCCAATTGTTCTCATCCCTCTATACCTCTGGTCACTTTCCTGATGAGACAGGCATCCTCGGTTTTTTCCATCTTGGCCCCTTCTCCATCCCCCACCTTCGCCCCCCCTCCCCCCACCCCGCCCCGCCAATTCCTTATTTTTTTTTTTTTATATATTTTATTGATTTTTTACAGAGAGGAAGGGAGAGAGATAGAGAGTTAGAAACATCGATGAGAGAGAAACATCGACCAGCTGCCTCCTGCACATCTCCTACTGGGGATGTGCCCGCAACCCAGGTACATGCCCTTGACCGGAATCGAACCTGGGACCTTTCAGTCCACAGGCCGACGCTCTATCCACTGAGCCAAACCGGTTTCGGCCAATTCCTTATTTTAAGGTCATGGACATTCCGCTCAGCCCCACGAGGTGTGCAAATGGGTCCACTAGCCATCAGCCCTTGCCAGAGAGAAAGCCATAAGTAAGTGCATTTGCTGGGGCAGAGGGAAGAGGAAAATGTGCTCCTTTCGCTTAGGCTGTGGACTGTCCACCTGAGAGACCGAGCTGCTGTTGAACAAACCAGCCAGACTTCCAGAGTGCCGGGTCCTGGGCGAGTCTGAAGGCCGATAGACCCCCACTCCCACCACCACCTTTTGCACCTGCCTGCATAGACGTGTGCAGGATCTCCCCGCCCCCCAATCTGATGTTCTTGTCCCTGCCCACCACCCCCTGAAAATCTAAGACTTTCCCCTTCCTTTCTGCACTCTCTCTTTTTACTCTGTTCTGGCCCTAAACACTTGTTTAGTTGGACTGCTTAACCAAGCCACACCTCGTCTCATTTGTCTTTTCCTCTCCACCCTCAGGCCGCTAATACATTGTATTAATGATTTCAGTAAACCTTCTTTATAGACTTGTAACCAGTAAAGTTGTTTTCTCCATAGAGGGATGCACTGTATTTGAAATAGTCAGCCTTCAAGACAATAATCCTGCTGTGCAAACGGAGCTTCTGTGGTAGAGGGAAACGAATGAGATTGATAAAGACATTATTTCCACTTTTGAAGAATGATGTGTTCGTTTTTGCAGCTGCCCTGGAAACGGACTTAAACACCATGAGACAATGTTTCTGCAGGTCACGTAGGCATCTGATGTTCTGGAGGGTGGAAGGCAGGACCTTGGCCAAGGTCTGGGAAGAACTCGGGCAGAAGTGCTGCCCACCTTCAGACCTAACGGGCACCCAGAGTCGTGCCCTTGGCTGTGTGAAATGAGCGTTTGGCAGCTCAGATGCACCTTCTAAAAGGGAAGGAAAAAGGCATTGCGAGGATGTCTCCACGCCCATGGAATTCACTGGAAGTGTTTCTGTCCACTGGCCAAGTTCTCAGCCAGATGACTGGTGTGCGGAAGCCAGCCAGAGCTGCGACTTTCTGTCCAGAAGCCCACGCATGCCTCGGACTATGGTACGAAGAGAACAGAGAGAAGCTGGCTGGCCAACCCAGAAGTTACATCAGAGCAAAAGTCTCAGCACTATACACCCATCGACGTGGTCCTAATTAGCAAGCAGAATGAAGAGTTTGGCTTAACACCATGGAATCAAGTTTTGTTTGTTTTATCCCATCTAAAACTCGCACTTTAAAAAAAAAAGTCATTAACTGTACAAACACAGTTTTTCACTTAAGTAAACTTACCAAGATGGGAACCTCTTAAACTCGGCAAATAAAATGACAACTAACATACATATAATCCTTACTGTATGTCGGGTATAATGTTGCAATAGAACAAAGAGTTGGAGGGAGTTGTGTGGGCTTGAGCCAAATTTCCCAAGAGGCTGGGATTGACTGTGTCATCATCTTGTCTGCTACTTGCTGGTCACAGGCCTGGTGCTGTGTCGTCTCAGCTCCCGTTATGCTTGCTCAAACTTGAAAAGTCACTTGAAGAGTGGCAGGTCCTGCATTCCTGGGATCCTAGAGTCATTCAGTGCACCTGGATTTTCAGAGTCAATAGGGTTTCCAACGTGGCCTCCCTGCCTGAGGAGACCCCATCTTGGCTCCGGGGAGAAAAAGGGACAATGGGTCTGCCCTCTGTGACCAGCAGCCGTACAAAGGACCCTGTGTCCTGCACGGTGGGGACGGCTCCCTGACCCAGTGGCATTTGTGTGATGTCATTTTCCACCCAGAATTCATTTTCCCTAAAGGAATGCCGTGTTAATGACTCTTTGTCACCATTTTACTTTCATGGGATGTCTCTTAGCTTTAAGCCTTTTTATTACATGGATCTTTTCTACAGTACTGGCAGCTCTGGCCCTGTTTTTGTCAGTGATCCCAGTCTTTCCTATCTCAATCTATTGACATTTCATATT